ACTTACTCTCATGACATCCCATATCATCTGTGAATGTATGCTTACCCAGCAGAGGCAACACAGAAACCATAAACACAATCCGGTAAGTGCTACTCTGCACAACATGAAGTTTTGACAAGAGCAACAAGGTAAGTTGGCAAAAAATTTTTAAAACACATGTTAATGTGATTGGTGAAAGAGCAAAACTCTAGAATCTCAAAGACCAGTTTGTGCTGACAACTGCTCAGGCATATTATGTGATGGTCAGTGAACAACTGAAAAGAAACAGAAATGCCTAAGTGTTTAATAAATATTTAATCACACAATCTTCCAAACTGTAGCAGATTTAGGCCACGTTTCTCAGAAGCTGAGGATAATTTGCCTGACAAATTACTGAAGTTCTCTTCCATTGACTGGAGTTCTAGACAGCAAATAACCTTGACATTTCAAATTTATAGGGCCTTCTCAGAAGACAGAACATCAACTATAAAGTGGCATCATTGCTTTTAATTAACCAGTTGATGAGGTCAAAGAACAAAGTTTCTTATCATTGGCAACACCTTTGGTACACTTTTCCTTTGTATTGAACACAGTGAAGCATTTTGAGTTTTGGTTTTTGGGTTTTTTTTTGTAGTACTATGGTATTTTAATTTAACAGTAAGTGTTCTTAACAAGCTGATTATATTGTTTGCAAACAGAATTACATTTAGCAGACTGTACCCACCTTATACCCAGAGAATGACACAAAAAGGTCAGACAGAAGAGAGTAAATAAACTCAGCAGGAATGACCTTTTGACAAGTGCAGTGCTGAGTAAGAACATTTATGTGGTACCTTGAAACTTTGCAGTTTATTGCCACAAACAACTTTATAAATCACCGTGAAGGTCTTGCCTCGAAACCATTATGTTTACCTTTAATAGGCATCAAATGTACAACCTATTTTAACAGCTTTATGAGGATGCATTTTACCACAGGATTCCTAGGATCTCATATAAATATGAGCAGTTTAAAAAAATGTTTAAGAAAGAAAGCATATGGTAGCATTTACCTCACCTACTTAGCAGATCACATTTTTTCTAGTTCATTTCAAGCCCATCAAACAGTATAATGAAGCAAATAAATTCAATAGGAAAAATGGAGAAAACTGAATTTAAGAAAATGTTTAACTACTCTGGGCAAAATTTGGCTAGGATACCTGAGCTGAAAGCCCATCATACATAAGAAGACATAAAAATCTCAGGGTTTTTATTTATTTATTTTCACAGAATCATAAAATAGTTTAATTGGAAGGCACTTTTCAAGGGTCATTTAGCCCAGCCCCCCTCCACCTGGTCTTGTTGAACCTCATAAGGCCAGGTTCCACAGGTACACTTCTTGAGCTTGTTCAGATCCCCTCTGAATGATGTCCCATCTTTCAGGAGTGTCATCCCACCACTCAGCTTGTAGTCATCTGCAAATCTGCTGTGGGTGCACTTGATCCCTTTGTCTGTGTCATTCCTGAAGATACTAAATAACACTGCTTCCAGTAGAGACCACTGAGGGTACCCCTTGCCATTGACTGCCGCTGGAACCATTGACCCTCACTAAGCTACCACCCTCTGGATGCGACTGTTCACTTACTTCCTCATACAACTAACTGTATACCTATCCAATCCATCTCCCTCCAATTTAGAGAAAAGGAAGTTGTGTGGGACCCTGTCAAAAGCTCTACAGGAATCCAGATAGATGACACCTGTAGCCCTTTCCCATAGCCCTGTCCACTGATGTAGCCCCTCCATTGTAGAAAGGGCTGGAACTAGATGATTTTTAAGGTCCCTTCCAACCCAAACCATTCTATGGTTCTATAATTTGCAGAAGAAATTTTTGTAGACACTACAGAAGACCTTAAACTAATTGCCAAGGCAGTAAAAAGCAAGTAAGGTGAGCTGCAATGAACTCAGGAGAGGGTATCCAAGAGACTGGGTGGATTGCTGGCTGAAACATTTCAGGCACATGTGGGGATAAAGGGCAGGTTGGGCTTTGCCTTTGTTGAGGCGATGCCTTGCCCTGCACACCTACCCCCCGGGCCTGTATCCCAGCCCTACAGTGGCCACCACTCCCTGGCATGACAGAGGCAATACTCCACACCTGGCCCTGAAGCCCCAGTCTTGCCCCAGAGCAGCCAATGAGGGAAGTGCCATCTGGGGAAAGGGCACAGGAAAGCCGAAGTGTAGTTTAGCCAGGACATGAAGCAAGCACAGATCTTGACTCTACTTCCTGCTGGACTTCCAATCAGCTGAACCCCATGAACCAGAAGTGTATGCTCTTTTATACAGCTTTTCTGTCTTTCTCTCTTGCTTCTAATTTCCTCTTACTGGAGTTTGGAGAAACTTAAAACTGGATGGGCTTGGAGCCTGCTAAGCTGAATGGGGTATCAAATGAATGCTTTGTGAAGTGTTTTATGTTGATTGTATGTTGTTTTGAACTTTTGCCCAAGTTCACTGCTTTTCTGAAGTTGGCATTAAAGCTTACTTTTTTAATTTGACTGCTTAAGGATATCCTGTCAGCATTTCTCCCATGTGTCTAACTCTGAGTACATGAAAAACTGTGAGCCCCTTTTTAAGAGGCTTGTCAAACCATTTCTTGGGGCTTTACAGGTATTATTTTACATATGATGGAAGTAAATCTACAAAGACTGCATGTATTAAGAGAGAGTCTTGCATAAAGCTAATCAGTCATCATATTTGATTACTACTAAACAGAAGGTCAGCTAATTGGAATCCCAGTTCCAATTAACAATTAAAATTGTTGGACCAACAGTTTTTCAATTTGTATTACTACAAGAAGTGTATAAGGTGTATTTTGTACAAAGATTTCAATGCAGAAAAAATCTCGTCATCAATGGTCCAACACAGCCTTTGCATTAAGCTGCACTCACAGCACAGCACAAATAAAGCTACAATAATAGTCAAACTACTAAATGTAACCTTTAAACTTGATCTAAGAAACTGAAGTCAGACAGGTCATACTTCAGCATGGGAAAATAGTTTTTCCTGCAGGAAGCTATTTTTGTATTTGGGAATTCCAGCAATATCACCATAACACATCCACGTGATTTGAATAATAGAAAGTATCAAGTAGCATATAAAATAAAAATCAAACCAAATATTAATTTTAGCTCTGACATATTTACCAGATGGATTAAACCATCTACCACAGTTTAAGAAAAAATTAATACTTTTATTAACATAATACTTCAAGAATCACTCTATCACTGTATTCATTTACTCTAAGAATTTAAACCCTTTAAAAAAGAGCAGCAATGCAATTCCAATAAAAAAGGATAGGGATAGCAGAATATACCTTTCCTTGAAAAAAGGGCCAGATAAGAAGTAGAGCATTGATGAATAAATGCAAATGTTAAAGACTGCAATCAATGCAATACAGAATTCAAGTATGCACAAAGAAGCAAATCTCCTAAGAATGTGCTTTTATATTCATGCTGTCTGCTGATGTTTTTCCCTAGAGCTCGAAGTATGATCCTTTGCATCACTGTTTCATAAATCAATGCCTCTGAACTTTCTCAGAAATGAAGTCTATGAGTCACCCCAGTGACCAATCACATCCAGTCATTACTTCTGCAAAGTCTTACACCGTGTACAGAGGTGCCAGCTTGCAGGGTGGGAAGGCACACAGTACCCAGTTATCAACTTCCATCCAGAAAATCTCTCTGGGCTGTTACATCTTTACAGGTTTTTATCCATGTTCATGCACAGAGAGTTATAGATTAACACCCTACACCTAAATTTGCTCCTACGGCTATAAAGTTTTGTACAAAACATCTTAACATATAGAAAACAGTTATGGGCAAATTAGGTGTCTATAAAACCACATGTAGATGTGATTTATAGCTAGTCTTTGTGGTGTAATAACCTCCTGTGATAGGAACACATTTGTTTGCAAACATGAAACTTTTTTTCATTTCTTGTAGTGCACACATACACTTAATAACTTGGTGAAATCTAATGCAATAGTAAAATAAATGTTAATTAAAGTAACAAACTGGGTATTATAGATTTTTTAAAATAGAAATTATTTCTATATTTCTTAATTTTGTTAAATAAGGTTTCATGCATTATAGTCAACACTACTGCTCAATTTTACAAGAGTTTTTTGGTATACTATCTTAGCACATTTTCATTACATCATTTTTACTTGCTCTATCACTTGAAAGTCTTTGTCAGCTCCAATTTGCCTTAGGCAGGATTTAATACTTTTAAAAGCATTACTTGTATGTAAAATGATCCATAAGTCTGCTGTCCATTATTTTAATAAAATAAACAATTTAACAGTCCCAGAGATACTAATTATGACCCAATGATGAAGGGAATTATTTTTTCCATTAGTAAACCTGTTGGTATTAATAATTTTTCTAAAATGCACTTTCAGTTATATCCCTGAATAAAAATGGCAGCTTTATCAAAATTAAATGTAGACAAAGAATCCTAGTCTGATGCAAATACTTAAGATCTACACACAAAATTCTTCACACAGTCAAATGGACAGTATTTGTAACATGTTACCTGAGACAGAATTTTTAATACTGTGGAGACCACATATGAGAGGGATGTGACCATTTTCTAATAGGATGAAAATTCACCTTTCAGCTTTCCTATTTCTGCACTGTAAAATATTTATGCACGGGAAAAGAAACACTTATTTCAATCTATATATTCCAACATCTTAAACAAGATACTAAAATTTTCTACACAAATTAGTTTTCAATCTTGCAAAACAATGATTCACTATGAAGTTACATACACTAACTCAAAAACAAACAAAAACAAATTTAAAGTGAGAAAGTAGAAACCCTCAATATTTACAATCATCTTTACAATTTTACAGATTGCTTAAATAATTGCTCAAGCTGTCTTCTCTTGTTAGCTGATTGCATCCTCAGAAAACCACTCCCTTCTGACTGATCAGAAGGAAGCAGCTATTAGACAAATTTTGAATTTTTATTTTACAATTTATAACTCACCTGCTTGGGAAGGCGGAAGAGAGAATTTTTGTAAAATATATCTTTAGCCTGACTCCATGTTCCATCAATGATAATCATAACAGATGGACTAGAAGACATCACTGCAACTTCTTCCAAATTAGTTGCTTCGGCTCCAGGATACAAAATTAGAGTATTGGGATTTCTACACACAGTTGCTAATTCAGGATACCTTCAATGCACAGAAACACAAAATTAAATTAATTATTGAAATATTAGCTCCCACTCATCTCCACCAAATTTTACTTAGAACGTCTCTTTCTCATCTATCACCTTCACCTTCCAACACTTCAGAAGTTGCTGGTTTTCCCCAGCTTCTAAGTGGGGGCAGTCAAAAAAAACCCACAAAAGTGACCAATGAAAGCTGACTAAAGCAGTATGTCATATCTTTTCCAATACTTAATCACTACTCTAATGAGTAGTGGAGCCAAAGACATTTTGAATTCTTTACCAGAATTTAATACATGTACTCTAGAAAAATTTGTTCAAACACTTGGCATAAAATTACTGCAGTTATCCAATTTTTATCCTTCTATATATGCAGCATATTAGCAATTAATGATCCACACCTACAGGACACTTTTGAGAATGTTATAATTTCCATTGGTTTGGGTTTTGTTTGAATTACTACTTATACTAACTGGCACAGTTATAGTTCCCATACTTTTACACTCTCTTCTTCCTTCCTGTTGCCTTCTACGTTTTTCAATGGACCACAGGAGTAACAACTGTCTATTAAGTGTACAGTTAATGTACATGGAAACTCCTCAAGTTTTTGCAGGACACCACTGTCTTAGTCTGTAAAAACCTGTGAAAGACATTGTCATTTAAATAGAACTCCAGGTCTCAAAAGCCAAGCATAAACTAGTCTGGCTGAACACTCCAAGGATAGGGCAGCCACAGCTTCAGTAAGTTTGGAAACCTAGGGCAAGAGCAATATTTCTGTCCACCCTGACTGGAAACCTAGGGCAAGGGCAATATTTCTGTCCACCCTGAGGGGTTCTGACTCCCAGGGAAGCACTGACTTTGACTCTCATTCATGGAGAAGGCCTCCAAAGCCTCAAATTAAAGTAGAGACCACAAAACTGTGAAATAGATTATAGAGAGTAGTATAGTATGTCACTTGGGTGAGAAATTTAGGTTTTTGGATTTTTATCATTTTGTAGATGGGGACAAGATAGAGGGTATAGGGTGTTGTCTCATGTTCCTTTATCTTCCTTCTTCTTTCTTCTTCATGGGTTTAGGTGGTATCTTGTAATTGGGTAGAAAAATCTGCATTACAGGTCTTTAGGGGTCTGTTATTGGTTAGAAAGGAAAATAATCTAGGTGTCACTTCCTAATTGAGTAACTTCGTTTTTGATGAGACTTAAAAGGTCTTGTAACATGAGATTGTTAGCCATTTTTGTGCTGTTTTCATGCATGCAAGGTCTGGTGCAGACAGTGTGCTGAAGTTTTGATAAGATAACAATAAAACAAGAAGCTGAAGACCAAAAAAGTCCAGTGCATCTCCTTTTCCTGATACAAAACTGCTCCAGGAGGGTTTCCCCTGTCAGGAGAGCCTCCAGGGGGAGGCCCAACGTGGGACCAACAAAGCCATAAGTAAGCAACCTGCCTCATCCCCATAAGGGTAAACAATTTATTCCTAGTATCTAATCTAAACCTACTACTGACGGTTTAAAACCATTTCCCTTGTTCTAGACCTTGCAAAAGTCTGTCTCCAGCTTTGTTGAAATCCCCTTTAGGTACCAAAAGGCTTCTATAAGGTCTCCCTTGGAGCCTTCTCTTCTCCAGTCTGAAGAATTCTAACTCAGCCTTTCCCATAAGAGATGTGTTCAGCCCTCTGATCATCTTCATGGCCTTCCTCTGGACTCATTCCAACATGTCCATGGCCCATATCTTTTCTGTGTTGAGGGCTCCAGAGCTGGACACAGTACTCCACATGGGGTCTCACCAGAATGGAGCAGTCAAGCAGACTGGTAGGGGAGAACCCAAGAAAAATCTAGTCTTGTAATAAAGGCTGTGTTACTTGTCTGAAACTCATTTCTCAGTCTTCAGTCTTACCTCAATCAGAAAGCATGAAGAAATATAAAGCAAGGATTGACTGTCCAAAGTATGTGACATCAAATAAGAAATTAATTCTACATAGTACCTCAGTGGTTATAAGGTGTAACTGATTTGGTAAGATGAGAAGAGTTACGTGCAGTTGAAACACCATGTGAAGTGGAAAGAGAAGCCAGCACACCTCAGGTGTATCGGAATGGGATTAACAATAGCCAGCACATAAAGTGAGCTCTTCATGAAACCTATCAAGATCCACTAGGTGCAAGATCATGGACACAAACAAAGGCATACTGTAAATATCTAAGTTCACACTGAGAAATTCCTATTGTCACTGTCACCTGGAGCTTTTAAGTTTCAGGAACCGGGAACCTGCACCACTTCTCAAAAATCAAGCAACAATCATGTGTTCTTGCACGGGGAAGCATCAGTAAGAGTGGGGAGGACTAGGGAAGAAATAAATGGTTCGGAATGAATTTTGAGTTTATATACATGAGGTGTACTTAAACCTGGATTCCATTATCACTCTCTGAGGAAGCATGTGGAAAAAAAACAATTTTGAGATGTTAAATTCAGACAGAATGGAAGTCCAAGACATTGAGATCCTGAGATTAAGACTCAAATGGGACCATACAGGATGTACATGAAATGAATGTGGAATGGAATTCAGTATACCTGAGTAAGCCTGGAGATAGTATTCCACCACCTGACCACCCTCTCTGCCAGCCTCCTCCCTCCAGCAAACAGTCCAAACTGATTCAGCAGTTTCTTTCAAACTGATTCAATGTTTCTTTCCTGTCATTTACTTCAAAGAACAAACACACAAACAAATAAACAAAACCAAAACATAATGATCTGTCTTTTCCAAATGAACAGGAAAATAATTGTAAATAGAAACTCGAAATCTGTAAGATAAGTCTGTGGCAAACAGAAGTACCTGGAAACTTCTCTGCCCACTATTTTTTTAAGCCTTACTTACAGTATAGTAATTTGGTATCATTTTATTTTAACCACCAATCTTGTTACATAAAATCAAAAGTGAGGGGCTTTTCCCATTACACAGTATCTAACATGCAAGGCTTAAACCTAAAAACTTTTATGTTTACCTTGAGAACCCAAGTTTTCAAAGAGCAAACTGTCCTAATTCTGAGGCAGAAGAGATTTTAACTCCTCTTAGACGATTAAAAAAAGGAATTCTTAAAACTATTCCAAATCTGTATTGATTATGAAACTCTTTAAGTTCATATTACGAACACCACAACTGATGTTTTAGTTGACAATACATTGAAAATAATGGTTTTCAATGCATGCTCATCCAAGGATCACAGAATCATCACAAAATCATAGCATGGCTTGGTTGGAAGGCACCTGAAACATCATCCCGTTCCAAGCTCCTTGCCACAAGCTGGAACACCTCCCACTAGACCAGGCTGCTCAGAGCCCCATCCAACCCAGCTTTGAACATATCAAGACAGGGCATCCACAGCTTCTCTGGGCAGTCTTTCCCAGTGCCTCACCACTCCCGAAGTAAAGAACTTCTTAATTTTTAATCTAAACCTACTTTCTTTCACTTTGAATCCATTCCTCCTTGTTCTGTTACTAAATGTCTTTGTAAATAGTCTCTCTCCATCCATTTGGTAGGCCCCATTCCTGTACTAGAAGGTTGCAATTAGCTCACCTCCTTTCCAGGACGAACAATCTCAACTCTCCTAGTCTTTCCTCTTCCTAGTCCTTCCACACCTTTAATTCCCTCCAAATGTTACTTCCATGACTTCCCCAACACTGGACACGTAAGATTTAACCATCCTGTCTAGACTGTGTTTTTGCTTAAAAATTTCAGACCAGATGATCCTTAAAGTCCCCTTCCATGCTGGTATTCTGTAATTCTATAGTACATATGTAATGAATATCGACAGCCAATGATGGCCCTTAGCTGCTCTTATCCTCAAAACCGAATGACATGAAGAAATTGAAGGAATATTCACTAGAAAGATTATACTGAAGAAAAATCCTTTATACAGACACAATGACATTTCCAATACTTTCATTGGCACTTTGCAGTACTTGCAGACTTTCAGACTTCAGAAAATGTTGGAATTCCCAAGAAAAAACAATTTGTATCATTTACAGCTGTAGTAATTTACTTCAATCCAAGATTTTTATTGCAACAATGAAAGCTAACATCAATCTGAAGATAGTCATTTTCTCTTTCTATAAATACATCAATACAATTTTTTTTTATCTGCTTGTCATGGCCAGCAGCTAACATAAAGCTCAAACAGATGATATATTTAAAAGTTATGCTGTAAGATACAACTATGGCCTTGAGCTCCATAAGATAAATACTTACAATACTTGCTTCTCTTACAAAACAGCTTTATTTTTGGTCTCCAGCAGGTATTGCAGGCTTTTATAATCCATTTAGCACAAAAACAATCTCTGCTAAGTAGAACTATTCAGATATTTCATTCATGTCTGAATATCGAACTGCTTTGTCACAGAAGATTTATACATTCTCATGATTGTACTTTAGTAGCATTTCTTTATTTGTAGGATGCGTGCTCTTGAAATGTGTAATTTAAACATAATCCCATTTTTGTACCATATACATTTTCATTACACATCTACTCAGTTGCTCTCAAACTCTCTAGATGGTTTTAATTCAACATGGATCCAGTGGCAAGCATTCAAATTTTAAAAATATAACACTGCCATTTAGTAGCAAATAATACCACTAATAAAGAATAGATGCCAACGTATTATCTGTAAAAAACTATCAGGTTAATGAGGACTTCTCAGTTTTTCTTATAATTTTTACTATCTCACCTTCATTATAGGCAGGTGCCTCTGCCTCCCTCAGTACTCCTGTGATTGGAAGACTGTGGACTGCTGTAATTCCTATAAGGTAGTAATTTCCATCAGGTAATAACATAGATTTAAAAAAAGGTAACTACCCTCTGTCATTTCTACATTCAGAAAGAGGCTCTCAGGATCCGGACTGTAGCATAAGAGATATCCAGCAAGATTGCCTCTGTTTAATCTACTTTTTTATCATTTATCTACTTTCTTTGTATGTAAAGCATAATCTTTAAGAACAGAAACAATAACACATGG